TAATTGAATCATACTATATTATATATAATAATTGGTAATAATTGGATTATTATCTGTAACCGGAATTATTAATCGTACACGTGAATATTTGTAGATTAAAAGTATGAAATTGCTGCTATTAATTATGTTATGATTTATAAGATTATGTGCATAAGTTAATTAATAGCTTTTTGTACATAGTATATTATAAATATAGGGAATATATATTAAAATCTAAAGTAATAATTAGCAATAATGCTGATCATTTTCTAGATTAACCAATTGCTGCTTGCATGTATTATTTTGTAAATTAGATATAAATGAAATAACTGTAATTAATATTATAATTGTTACGTTTATGCATGCTATGTGTTAATTGACAATCCTTTTTTATCTTTTATTACTTTTAATTGAAATATTAGGTTGAGTAAAAAGTCGCGTATTTTTTAGCTCAAAGTTGTATATACAATATCTTCGTCAATAATGAATGAAATTCAAATTTAAAAAAAGGGTTTTAAAGCTTGAAATCTCTACTTTTAAAAGCTTATCACATTTTTTAAGTTTATATGAGTTTGATAATTTTTACATACCAAAAACTACGAGCTGAAAAAGACGAAAAATTTTCTTCTCACTTTGTGGATTTGTAACGTGTCCAAAACGAATTTGAGAAAATTTTCGATTACCTATCGTGAAAGCTTGATACTTTCCCTACAAAATCGTTTTTTTTTTAATATTCCTACGACTTTTGATTGCTGAGTTATCGCGGATTAAATAAAAGAATTATTTTGACTTTTAATTGCTCATAACTCCATTAAAAATTGTCGTATCGTATAATTTAAAAAAGAGATTTTTAAAGCTGAAACTTTACTCTATCAAGATATATTGTTGGTAAGAAAGTAATTGCGGTTTTTACTGATAGATGTCTTTTAAAAAAACGCTAAAAATTACTTTTTACTTAACCTAATATAAAGTAGTAAGCGGCAATGATGGTGATTATTTTTTACATTACCAGCATTAGTAGTTACTAGATTAGTCGTTATATATTATAATCGTGAAATTAATGTAACTGATATTATGAGATTTGCTTATAAGCATTCTATGGTAGCATTCTAAGGCCTTTAATAGAAAGCTGACTTATAATCTTAAGACAGTGTCTTATGATTTAAGTTCTACACACATTCTACAATAAACCATTAGTCATAAATCAGAAGTTAGAAGCTAGAAATTGACCAATCACAGTTGTCAATTTCCAATTTCTAACTTCTGATTTATGACTAATGGCTTATTGTAGAATGACCATTATATTTTTAGTAACAACTAGAACTAGCACAAGAACTATCTTATGACTTATGTCTTAAAGGTATATAAATACAAATTGTGCCTGATATAAATAATAAGACAGTTCTATGTGTTAGTCCGGATCTATAATAGGTGTTTTAAACCTTAAGCCGTAAGAAATTGATCAATTACGGTCGAATGCGAGGAGAATAATTGATTGTGATTCGTCCATTCCTTATGACTTAAGGCTTAAAAATCTATTGTAGATCCGGAATTACTAAAGACATAAAACTTAACTCATAAGATACTGTCTTAAAATTATAAGTCAGAAACATTGTAACAATAATGTTGCGATTGCTACGGTTATAAAAATGATTCATTTTATCCTATCCAAATTATAATTTTTAATTATTAAGAATTAACACATCTCATATACACGTAAAAATATACTATGTCGAAAGAAATATTAAATAATTGTTGTATCATATAGATTATAAATATAATCAAATAAGAATCAATTACGGATTTTGCAAATTTTATTTAGAAAACTATTGGATTTTAATCAATGCCCACTCTAATGAAAAATTCACTACAATTTGGGTATAAATGACAATAATCGGTTATAATTATGTGTGCGTCGCGAAGTGCATTGTGTTTCATGTTTCACAAAATACAGTGTAGTAAACTTGTAAATAATATAAATTCGTTCGATTTTATGGAAATACATGCAATCAATGAATCTAAAAATGAAGTAAATAAGTAAAGTATATAAATTAATATTTGAAGTATGTGTGCAAGTGGATATTTATCATTTTTTGAATAAAATTTGGATAATACAACCGATGGAGCATTTCTTAAGGTGAAATTTGCAACGAACTGACGCAAAGCAGATACTTCGGCTGGTAAGTGAAATAATACATAATTTGCATATTACACAATATTAATATCATCTGCTGTTTTTTATTTACCATTATTTACTATATTAAGAATGTGCGTTTAGTCTACTTATATTTTAAATTATAATTTTACTTTTTACTAAGGCAAAAATGATATGAAAGCACTAATGCAAACTTCGCAATAAACATTTTATAAGAATAATGAACTTTATTAATATTTCATCGGTAATGCTAATGAACTAATTCAATCTACTCAATCATATTCATCACAGTATAATGAAGAGTAGTTTGTAGAAATCTAAAAATATATTATTATATAGAAAAATTATAAGAAAATACAATATTATAATAGAGACTATTTTATTTAAATTAACAATATTGACACAATAGATTTTTATATAGTTTAATAATCCCACAAATTTTGCTTCACCTTGGAACTTAATTAATATATTATTATATATTTAAAACATAAAT